TTTTCATATATATATATATATATATATATATATATATATGAAAAAATTTATGTGGGTACTCAAATGAAAGGTCTCGATGAGTGTAATCTCAGGGTGAGCTTATATCTTTAAAAATGTCAATAGTTCACAAGATATTTGTTATAATTGCTCTGTACTTTCTTAACTATTGACATTTTTAAGGATATAAGCTTATCCTGATGTTACACTCATCAAGAGCTTTCATTTGAGTACCCACATGCATTTTTGATATATTTTTCATATATACATATATATAATTTATATAAATATATAAAAAATTGATGTGGGTACTCAAATGAAAGGTCTCGATGAGTGTAATCTCAGGGTGAGATTATTTCTTTAAAAATGTCAATAGTTTACAAGATACAAGGTCATTTCTTAATTATCTAGAGATAGACACAAAATTTTTCTTATTCTCTGTATAACGTAGATAATACCAATAATTACTCTCTTCTGCTCCTTTTGAGTCTACCTCTTAATTTCTTTCATTATTATTATTATTTTTTTAATTATTAATCTTTTACTATTTTAAAAATTTTTAATATTTTATCCAAAATAACAATAACAATATTTTTCAGGCACAGACAACGTGAGATCCTACCCATCAAACTTCAAAATAAACTCCCTCGAAGACATAATCGGAAAACTCCACAAAAAATTACTCTGGCTCGAATGCAAGGACATATGGTGCTTAAATCTAGAACCTGTATGGGCAGATTTCTACGGCGTCCGGGCCGTAGGTATGAACCGGCCAGTCCCACTACTCGACGCGTTTCCCGTAACAGTCTGGCTTCACATTACCGACAACAACAATTCATCCTCCACCTTGCCTCTAAAAAACGACAACAAAGAACCTCAAAAAACCTCAAAAAACGCAGATGTCCACGTTTTAGCACACATAAGTAACCTAATAAGCGTCCAATTGAACCACTACCAATATTTATTTTTACTCCGTCAATTAGAAATAGTCACCGAGATGAGCACCTACTTGGTAATCGACACAAACCGGATAATGAATGTAACAACCGGCTCCTCACTAGTAGTAGGTGCTTTAGTACCCCAGCTCGAAGTGACTTTAATAATGCCATCGCAAACTCCGGGAAAGGAAAATTCCGGTGGAGATTTAGAGTCAGTAGTCCCGGACTCATCAAGTATAGCCGACGAATTGCTGCCTATTTCCCTTACAAACCAATCAGTAGCAACTAGACTAGAATTTGGGCTAAAGCGCTTTAATACCAGCAATGATGTTGAGACACCTCAAAGCGAGGTGTCTTCAATGATCGGATCTTTGGATCCAAGCCACCCTACTGTAACATTTAAAGCAGCTGAAAAAAGTTACAGCAAACAATTCGACCATCCATTGCACCAGAGGCAAAATTCAGAAGATTTAGAAGCTAGAAAATATTTAAAGTACTCATCAAAAGATCCCTTGCAATCCGGTTTAATACAAAATAATTTTAATGTAGGACTTTCCAGTATGAAAAAAGGCTTCGCTAATTTAATGACTTCAATTGATTCCGCGCTTAAAGCTTCCCCAGAAGACGGAAGCAGCGATACTGTTTCTATGAGAAGCGATCTTAGTTCTGATAGCGAAAATTATATTGTTGTGTCTTTGGAAGATCAGGAAAAATCTGATTCTCTTTTTGGGAATTTAAATGTTAGTAACATCACAGCTGTTGAAGAAGCTAGTGAGGTGATTGAAGAAACTCCAGACACCCAGAGTGAAAAGTCACTTGATAGTGCGTGCAAGCGCAAAGATTTAGTGTCAATGGTGACCTTTAAATTGTCCAAGGTTGAAATTATTCAACAGTCTAAAGGATTTTTCTCTGCTATTAAATTACAAGTCGGGAAAATAATTAGCAATGAGTGTACCTCTATTCCGTGGGATGAAATGCAGACTAAGTTTAGCTCTAGATCGCGTGGGTGGTCTGAATTACAGTCTGATGATTGTAAAATATCTGTAAAATTACGGCTAGAGCATGATTTAAAGAAACAGTACAGTAATTTAAATGATAATTTAAATAGTAAAATTGCGACGTTGTTTGATGATAAAGTTACTGGGGAAATTAATGATATTAATTTAGTATTATCCATGAGTACAATTACGGGATTAACTGATTTGTTGGAAGACGAGATAATACCTGACTATTTACCTGTTAATTTAATGTTAAATAATATTTTTATTAAATTAATTGAAGATCGCCCGCCTAATAATATTACCTCGCCCGGGCCGGTACCCATTGATTTAGCGGTACAGCATTTAAAGGTTGTTCGTGATAAAAATGGACTGATTAATATTGAGTCTGTGAAGAGTAATGTAGATAATAGTGCAGCGCAAGTTAATTCGGTGACTGAAGGGGAATTGGTGAAGCTTAAACAATTGAACAAACAAATCAAAAATGATAATGAGGAATTGAGACGGAGATTGGTTGCGCTTGATTATTTGTCGGAGGAAAATTTAAGGTTGAAAAGGAGTAAGGATGAATTGCATTCGGTTAAATTGCAATTGAGTGAAGCGCAGGAGCTTATTAAAGAGTTGATGAAGGAGAAGAATATTTTGAAGGAGGATAATTTGATGTTACAAAGTCAGGGGAAGAAGTCTAATGATTCTTCTAGTAGTGGAAGGGCCTCGTGGTCTATTAAGAGATAGCATACCAGTTGCTTTGATTGCTCCAAGTGTTGTACTAATAACAAATAATTTTTACAAACAATTATCCGTCTTCAATTTCAGATATATTTTTTATTATTGTTTTTTCTTGTTTTATTGAATATTTTTTCGTAATTGTTTTTATCTGCTTCAAGGAATATATTGTTATTGTAATTAGGTTGATCTGAACATAAATACAATGTTGACAATTAAATTCAATTTTGTAATCTTCTGTGTAAAAAAAAAAATTGTTCTCTAAAAATAAGAGATATTTTTAGGACAATTTTGGGACATCTCAGAAATAATGAGAAATTTTAAAATAGTGCATTTAAATAATTTTTTGTCGATTTTAAGTATTTTTTTGAAAATTTTCAGAATGTTTCTACAATTTTATGATAATTTTAAATGATAATAAATTTAGCAGATATTTAATAATTTTTAGAATTTTTTCAACAAATGAATTATAGCAAAAAAAAAAAATATATAAAAAAATTGATATTTAGAAATTAAAAAAAATTAAAAATACAACTTTTTAAAAATAATTTTTTGGAAAAAATTTGTTTGTTAAAATAAATTAAAAAATTTACTAGTGAGTGCTAACTTTAATGTCATTAATTTTAAATGATTTTAAAAAAGATAATTTATTTTTGCAAAAATAAATTATCATTCTTAAGGAAGTATTGTGCAAAATCACTTTTCTTACAATATTCTTCAATTTTTGAATAGGAATAAAATTTTTTTAATAGTCCTTGCGGTGGTAATTTTTGAAATATTACCAATTAAAAATGCGTACATCTAACATGTATTTCCTATCCTGAGAATATAAAACTGAGAATATTTAATTGAAGTTATAACAAGTATTTTTTATCAAAAATAACACAAACGAGCGGTATTCATTTTTTTATAAGAAATGTTTGAAGTTAGTGACTTTGGATATTTTACGTGAGTGGAAGCAAGTGAGCGATAGTCTGTAAAGAGAGGCAGCGCTAGTGCGTGAGAAAGAAACCAATACCCATAACCTATTGGTGTCTTTTTCTTCGGGTAATACCTTCTTAAAATCATTTGAAAATCGTTAGATTTGGTATGAGAAAATATATTCAATAATTTTTTTGTTATGAAAAAATATTGCATAAGAAATTATTAATGAGAAATTTTTTCGTAGGTAATTATTACATTAGAAATAAAAAACGGCCGTTTATTGTAATGATGGTATTTAAAGACTTATTTGACAATTTGTATACTTGACATATTTATTGGAATATAATTTATTTATTTGATGTATGTATTTTTAGATTGCCTAAAGAAGTTAGGGTGCCCGACGAAAAAGTAGTAAGTAATAAAATGTGAATTAATTGTCAACATTGCGTTTATAATATGATCAACCTGATTATTATAATTATATTAAATATTTTTTGACCTTTTATTTTCTCACTTTTGTTCCTGATTTTTTATTATATAAATAGTGAAGATATATATGTATAAATAAGTCGTGAATTTTTTATACTTATATTCCATTGTTAAATATTTATATAAATATATATATGTAAGACTGAATTAGTGTGTTTGTATTATTATTTTTTTGAAGATAATTTTTATTTAAAATGCGCAGTCTAAAAATCGATAGATGTAAATTTCACGGCTAGTTTTTAAACTGTCATATTATCGTCTTTTAAATCCGATAAATAAATTATTATTATAATAATAATAATAATAATAATAATAATAATAATAATGATTATTGTAATTAATAATAAAAAATGAAAAACAATAATAATTGTAATATTAATTGTAATGTTGGGAGTTATTTTCTCGAATGTTCCGAATGTCATTGAAAATATCTATTGTAATCAATTTTAAATATTTAATTACATAATAATATTAATTAACATTATTACAATACTGATAGGAGGTAATTGTCCAGATGAGTGACTTTTAACAAATGAAACAAATATATATATTAATTAAATATTAAAGATAATATGTTACATATGAAAAAACATATTGTTGAATATGTTTTATGGGTGATTATTTAATATACAATTAAATAAAGTCATTTTATTGTTACATGAAAAAGTTGAAATTATTTTTATTTTTTAAATACATTTTTTTATTCATTTTTATCTATATTATTAAGAGAATAAAAAAAATTTTGTGTATAGATACATAATTAAGAAATGACCTTGTATCTTGAGAACCATTGACATTTTTAAAGATATAAAGTCATCCCGATGTTACATTCATCGAGACCTTTCATTTGACTACCCACATCAATTTTTCATATGTTTTATATATTTATATATATTATATATATGTATATATAAAAAATATATCAAAAATGCATGTGGGTACTCAAACAAAAGCTTTTGATGAGCGTAACATCAAGATGAGCTTATATCTTAAAAAATGTAAATAATAAGAAATGACGTTGTATCTTATGAACTATTGACATTTTTAAAGATATTAGCTCATCCTTATGTTACATTCATCAAGACCTTTCATTTGAGTACCCACATCAATTTTTCATATATTTTATATATTTGTATATATATATATATATATGTATGTATGAAAAATATATCAAAAATGCATGTGGGTACTCAAATGAAAGCTCTTGATGAATGTAACATCAGGATAGGCTTATATCTTTAAAAATGTCAATAATTAAGAGAGTACAGTGTAATTTAACAAATATCTTGTGAAATATTGACATTTTTAAAGATATAAGCTCATCCTGATGTTACACTCATCGAGACCTTTCATTTAAGTACCCACCTTAATTTTTCATATATTTATATATATTATATACATGTATATATGAAAAATATATCAAAAATGCATGTGGGTACTCAAATGAAAGCTCTTGATGAATGTAACATCGGGATGAGCTTATATCTTCAAAAACGTCAATATTTAAGAAAGTATAGTGCAATTTAACGAAAGTCATTATTCAATAAAGTAAAATTCTATTTATTTATAGTTCACAAGTCACGGCAGTCACATAGTGACTGCAAGAATGCTAGTTAATTTTAATTTTAATAAAATTAATCAAAAAAAATTTTTTTGACATTCTACTAATTTATTATATCTTCAATTTTAGAACCACTAATTTAGGAAGAAATATTTTGAATGAATATGAATTGACGTATATGAAGCAATTTAATCATAAAAATTTCTATCTATAAAAAAATTCCACTCATTCTTAATAAAATATATCTATCACAATTATAATAAATATAACTCGGGTGAAATTTTGGTAACAGATTGAATTTTGTTGTATTGATCGCCTGACGTAATTTATACCGAGGGTGTGTGTTAGTAGGTGTGTATGTGTGTGTTTAAATGTCAATATGAAGGTACACGTGTGCAAGTTGATCTAGTTTTTGATTGGTTAGTGATACGGCTGAAGGTTATTTTTACGTGCGCATGCACACTATCGTCTTCTCTATAACAGACATATATATGTAAACTATAATAATGATTATATTTCTGCCCGTGATTCAAACGTCAGTTTAGAAGTTAGTATCGTCACGACTTTCACGTCGACGACATTTAAACCCAGACAGAGTTATAAATATAAAACATATCCTTTAAATTAATTTCATAAAATTAAAATGACGAAGAAAGAATATTGATTTTAATTTTAAAAAAATTAAATTAAATTAGAAAAAAGATATTTCTTCTTGCCGTAACTTTGTTCGCTAATTTAACTCCGCTATGAGCTCAGTAATTAGTTTATTCAATTACTATACTCATTTCGCACTAAATAATTTTCCGTCAACTTGACGTTAAATTGTTCTGATAACAATAATAATAATAATAATAAATTTATTAAATATATATTCTGTTAAATAAATTACGGGGAAAATGGATGTGCAAAAAAAATTTTTGTGTCCGAGATTGGTCGACTATTTGGCTATCGTTGGCACAAAAGCACCTCCTGTTTCACGACAACCAGTTCAGGTAATTAACATAATAAGAGATTAATTCTTAATAATACTAAAATTAGCATAACACTAAAGTTAGCCGACGTTTTTAATTTATTAATTATTAAATTAGAACTAAAAAATATTTTTTAAAAATTGCACTTAGAGTTTTTTAAGTTTTTTATAAATGACAATTTTTTTTTTTATTTTGCAATAATATTTTTTATAAAAAAAAAATTCTAAATATTTTTAAATGTCAGTTTACTTAATTTTTATCAATTAGCCGACATTAAAGAATTTTTAGAACATTTTTTTATTAAAAAAAAATTTCATTTGTTATAAAAGCTTGAAAAACTTTAAGTGCAATTGTTTTTTATTAAAAAAAAAACTAAAAAAAAAAATTTCATTTGTAAAAAATTTAAAAATCTTTAAGTGCAATTTTAAAAAAATAATTTTTGGATTTTTTTTAATTATTAAATTATTACTAAAAAATATTTTTTAAAAATTGCACTTAGAATTTTTCAAGTTTTTTACGACTGAAATTTTTTTTTTAATTTTTTTAATAAAAAATTTTTTTTTAATTTTGAGATGTCGGCTAACTTAATTTCATAATTTTTATTACAGTAAGTATACGACTGACGAAATGTTTTTTTTTTTTTTTAATATATATGCAAATGTATATATATGTGTACTTACCATAAATTATTTAGGTACCGGAATTATTACGCCGCTATCCAGTTGAAGATCATAAAGATTTTCCTCTGCCGCTGGATATGGTGTACTTTTGCCAACCGGAAGGTTGTTCTAGTGTTGGGCCTAAGCGAAGTGCTCAGAGAGATTCAACTTCATTTACTTTTACTCTCACTGACAAAGATTCCGGTAATAATACTTACAAACATAATAATTCATTAATTACTTCAGAAGAAATAGTTTTGATATTATATTTGGTCAAAAAGTATTTCTTTTATCACACTAAAAATAGCCGAGACTTTATTGTGGATTTATTTGACACATAAATTAATTCTATTTATAGTTTTTTACTATTTCACCATGTGAATTTTTTTCTAAATTTATTTTTTATAGAAAAGGAACTTAATTTGCAGGCATGAGAAATTTTTTTAGAATTTTATAGCAATTAAATTATCATGAAAAAAATTTAATAAAAAAATTCCACTTGTCAAAATTAAAAAAAATTATTTGTAGAAATTTTTTAAAGCATTTTTTTATAATTAATTTTTTATTTCAATTTCTTCACTCTTAAAATGAAAGAAAATTTTTTTAATTAATTTTTATTCCAAATAAGAATTTACCAGTAATTAATTGCACTAACAATGATACTGAAGTCAGCTGACAAAACTATTAATTTTTTTAATTCTAACAAATCAATTACAATAAAATAATGGTTCTAAAAATTTCCATTATTAATTTTTTTTAATTTTTAGTAATGAAATTTTTTTATAAAATTCTTTTTCATAATAATTTAATTGCTATAAAAAATAATTTCTTCCCTTTATAAAAAAGTAGCTATGTTCCAAATGTCATCTTTTCTAACCTAAAAAATCAATAACCAAATTATGTGTACTTAAGGTAAAACACGTTACGGAATATGCGTTAATTTCTATCGACCAGTCGAGCGTTATACATCTACATCTGGGTCCAATAGTGTCTGGAAAAAAAAAGACAAGAATGACGCGAAATTACGTAAAGAAAGTTGGCGCAAAAGTATGGAGCGCAGTACTGATTCCGCATTTTCAAGGTTAATTTTTAAATTAATATTATAACATTAAATTTAGATGTCATTAAAGTTAGCCGACGTTCGAAATTTTTTGATTTTTTTTTTTTAATAATCAAATTAGAACAAAAGAATTTTTTTTAAAATTGCACTTACAGTTTTTGAAGTTTTTTAGACGTGCAATTTTTGTTTTTATTTTTTTGTAATGATTTTTTGAATAAAAAAAAATTATAAAAATTATTAAATGTCGGCTAACTTAATTTTCATTAAATTTAGCTGTCAATTTACGATTTTTTAATTTTCTTAAAAAAATCAAATTTCCTCCAAAAAATTATTTGTAAAAAATTGCATTTTTAATTTTTTAAAATTTCTACTTGTCAATTTTTTTGTCGGCTAACTTAATTTTCATTAAATTTAGCTGTCAATTTACGATTTTTTAATTTTCTTAAAAAAATCAAATTTCCTCCAAAAAATTATTTGTAAAAAATTGCATTTTTAATTTTTTAAAATTTCTACTTGTCAATTTTTTTTTTCATAATTTTATTTGTTTTGTAAAATTTTGTAACAAATAATGATTATAATACTAAAGTTAGCCGATGTTTTTAATTTTTTGATCATTCTTAATTTGTGAAATTAAAACTAAAAAATATTTTTAAAATAAAAAATTCCACTTATAGTTTTTCAAGTTTTTTATAAATAAAAATTTTTTTTAATTTTTTTGTGATGATTTTTTTAATGAAAAAAAATTCTACAAATTTTTAGATGTCAGCTACTTTAATTTTCATATAATAATTTAATAATTTGAATGATTAAATATCTTCTAAATTAATTTTATTTTAATTTATTGATTAATAAAATATGAACACATAAATTAGTCATTCCATTAGTTGGTAGTAAAATAAATCCTTTGGACGATAAATATTAATAATTAACTTATAGCGACTACAGAAGCAGTGTAATTGGTCCCAGCGACTCTGAGAGGGAATTCCCAAGTCGCAGAGGATCCGATACTCCATTAACTACCAGGGCGCCTCGCTTGGGAATCACTGCGCCGAGTTGCGACAGCGAAAGTGGTGGAAGTCATTCACCGTCACCTCGAGCTTCTCGTCGTCGACAAGTAAGTTATTTATAAATAAATTTAACCTTTAATCATAGATAAATAATAACAGTGAAGCTAACTTTAATTGCTGATTGATGATAAATGACATTGGGATCCAGATGATAAATATTAATTCATAATTTTATTATTTTCAGAGAATACGAAATCATTCATTAACTTCATTGTGTATTATATCTCATCATCCATTTTTTTCACGTTTCCGAGAGTGTTTAAATGTTTTAAAAAAATTAATCGATGCCTGCAATGAAAATGCGTTGCCTCAGAAAGTTGGAGTTTCACGGCAGACAAATAGGTATTAGAAACAATGAATAACTATTGTACTGAAATTACCAGACATTTGACAATTTTTATAACATTAAAATAGCAACCGTGTAGTCACTATGTGACTGCCGTGACTTGTGAACTATAAAAATTGAAATTTTGCTTCATTAAATAGTGACTTTTGTAAAATTGCACTATATTTTCTTAAATATTGACATTTTTAAAGATATAAGCTCATCCCGATGTTACACTCATCAAGAGCTTTTATTTGAGTACCCACATGCATTTTCATATATTTTTCATATATACATATATGTAATATATATAAATATATGAAAAATTGATGTGGGTACTCAAATGAAAGGTCTCGATGAGTGTAACTCCAGGATGAGCTTATATCGTTAAAAATATCATCAGTGGACAAAATACAACGTCATTGCTTTATTATTTACATTTTTTAAGATATAAGCTCATCTTGATGTTACGCTCATCAAAAGCTTTTGTTTGAGTACCCATATGCATTTTTGATATATTTTTCATATATTCATATATATATAATATATATAAATATATGAAAAATTGATGTGGGTACTCAAATGAAAGGTCTCGATGAGTGTAACATCAGGATGAGCTTATATCTTTAAAAATGTCAATACTTCACAAGATATTTGTAAAATTACACTGTACTTTCTTAACTATTGACCTTTTCAAATATATAAGCTCATTCTGATGTTACTCTCATCAAGAGCTTTCATTTGAGTACCCACATGCATTTTGATATATTTTTCATATATTCATATATATAATATATGTAAATATATGAAAAATTGATGTGGGTACTCAAATAAAAGTTCTTGATGAGTATAAGGTCTGGATGAGCTTATATTTTTAAAAATGTCAATAGTTCTTAAGATACAGGGTCATTTCTTAATTATGTATCTAGAGATAGAGCATTTTTCGAACGCAGCCTAAATATTTATCATAATAAATTGATGATCGGTGAGAATGATATGAAACCTTAAAAAGGAACAAATTCAAATCAAGACCTTTGCAATGACACTAAATTTTACTAAAAAAAAAAACCCATTTTATCATATGACTATCCTGGACAAAAATTTTTCTTATTCTCTTAATAATGTAGATTTAGCTGTCACTTGACAATTTTTTTATTTTATTTAACAAAATAATGTTTAAAAAATTGCATTTATAATTTTTTAGAATTTCTAATGATGAAATTTTTAAATAAAATTATTTTTGCTATAATTTATTTTTTAAAAAAATTATCAGATGTCTCTAAATTTCATTAATAACTTATTAATATATAATGAAATTTAAATTGGCAGACACTTGACAACTTTTCGATTTTTCTTAAATAAACTAATAGAAAATAATATTTAAAAAATTACATTTATAATTTTTTAGAGCTTTTAAAGATGGAATTATTTAAATAAACTTTTTTTTATTGTAATTTATGTATTAAAAATTTTCTAAAAATGATCAATTGTCTCTTAATTTCAGTATCAATATATATAAGAATATAAGTAATAATCAATATCAACTAATTGAACCGTTATCTATTTTTTCAGAGACACTGTCTGGAGTGTATTGACGTCACAAAGTTTCCAAGGAGCATCATCGCTCGTATTACATGACGTCCGTGAAATAGAAACTTGGATTTTACGATTACTTAGTGCCCCAGTTCCCGTTCCTGATAAAACCCGTGTAGAGCTAGAAGTTTTATCACCCCAAGTTCCGCCGTTATGTTTTGCGCTCCCAGATCACACGCGTTTTTCGCTAGTTGATTTTCCTTTGCATCTTCCATTAGAGCTACTGGGGGTTGAAATCTGTCTCAAAGTTATGACATTAATTCTCCTAGAGCACAAGGTGAGATTTTATCATTTAATTTTATATCAAAAGAAATTAACAATATAAATTATTTTAACAGACATTAATATCAAATTAATTAATGGAACTTACTTTGCAGATTGTCCTCCAGTCCAGAGACTATAACGCCCTTTCGATGTCAGTAATGGCATTTGTTACGATGATTTATCCATTAGAATACATGTTCCCGGCAATTCCTTTACTACCCACGTGCATGAGCTGTGCTGAACAATTATTATTAGCGCCAACGCCTTTTGTTATAGGAATTCCGGCGTCCTTTTTATTATACAAAAAAAACTTTCGTATGCCAGATGACATTTGGCTTGTTGACCTAGATAGCAATAAAATTGTTCCACCAAGTGGTAATCACGAGACAATACCACCGCTTCCGGAACCCGAAGGCACTATTTTGAAAAATCATCTCAAGCAGTCAATGCAATTAATGGATCAAGCTGGTTCTAATGTATTTTATTTCTTCTTTTATATTTGCAATATAATTTTTATTTCAATATTTTATTGATTAATAAAAATTTATTTTGCAGAATATAAACACGGGGCCACATCAATTATCATCGAAAACATCTCCGCAGTCTGGAGTGCCATCACCAAGCCGTAGAGAAAGCTCAGCTTCTCATCAATCTACTCTAAGGTACACTAAAAAAAATTAAGAGAAATATTCTTGAACCAAGAAAATAATTTTTAAGAGTTTTATTGTCTTGCCACGCTGTTTTACTATTTAATCGCAAAATATTTTTGAAGATAAAAAAAATATTTTTAATTTAAATAAGAATTTTTTTTAAGTATTAGCATAATAAAAATATAGAAATTTATGTTGAGACATAAAATTAAATGCTTATGCTTAGGAAGAGATTTTATGATCATTTTTTCTTCTATTAAATAGTAAAACAGAGAGCCGTAAATATCCTTTCTATATTTAATTTAACTCATAATCTTAATTCGTAGATATTTTATGATATTTCTTTAAAATTGCAATAAAAAATGTTAATTTTTTTAATTTAAGACTCTTAAAGGATAATTCTGATTTGTAACTTAAAAAAAAAAATTTTTTTTTTACATTTTTATAATTAAGAAATGACCTTGTATCTTGTGAACTATTGACATTTTTGAAGATATAAACTCATCCCGATGTTGGACTCATCGAGACCTTTTATTTGAGTACCCACATCAATTTTTCATATATTTTATATATTTATATATGTATATTTGAAAAATATATCAAAAATGCATGTGGGTACTCAAATAAAAGCTCTTAATGAGCGTATTATCAGGATGAGCTTATATCTTTAAAAAGGTTAATAGTTAAGAAAATACAGTGCAATTTAACAAATATCTTGTGAAATATTGACATTATTAAAGACATAAGCTCACCCCGACATTATACTCATCAAGACCTTTCATTTGAGTACCGACATCAATTTTTCATATATTTATATATGTATATATGATAAATATATCAAAAATGCATGTGGGTACTCAAATAGTTACAAGATGGCGGCTACTGAGTAGACTAGAGTTACAACGTGCTCCTCAAATTTAGTCATTAATTTAGTTTAGTGCATAGTAGTGTCAGTAAAAAGTGTTCCTAGTTATTGATAAAATTATTTATCAACGAGTGAGCTATAAATACGTACTGTAAACACTTTTTAATCTTGCAAATAACCGTTGAAACGTTGACCACATTTCTAACCTATATCTCGCGCTTGTTATTATTATAATTATTACTGGTGATCACGTGTATAGTCTGCACTTCTATTTTTACATATTTTGTAATAAGCATTATAACTACAATGGATTTCGATGGTAACGTGTCATATACCTGTGAGGAGAATTTGATCTGCAGAGCCTGCAACGTACCCATCTTACACGAGTCAATCGCATGTCCTAAATGCTCTCACATTTTTCACAAGGCATGTGTTAACACAGAAGCTTTAACTAAGAATGGTGGATTTACAAGGTGTTGTGGACCGGGTCGTAAAGCCTCAGCTTCTGGTGGCACGCTTCAATTTACTCTGGAAGACATAAAATATACATTCAGGGACGAAATCGCACCTCTAGCTCGGCGTATTGATAATGCTGAAATACGCCTCGATAACATCGATTCTTATTTGAAGGATTTTACAACAAAGGGCCTTGCAGAGCATAAAGTCATAGTTGAACTCAACCAAAGGGTCGACAGCATTGAATCGGCGGGACTAAGAGCTTCAGCAGGCACTGATGGATCCCGGGATCTATTTCAAGAGTTTGATGACAGGTTGAACAGGCGTTCCAACCTAATGATTTACGAACTTGAGGAAGAATATACTCGCGACTCCAATAATGGCATTCTTCAAACTAAAATTATTGACTATTTTTCACAAGTCATGGATAAGCCGGTGTCGCAAACTAGGATTAAATTTAAAAGTAGACGCGTGGGTAAATACTCAGCATCGAGTACCATCCCGCGTCCTACCAAAGTCATGTTTGCTGATCCTGACATGGCTGAAACCGTTCTACAGGCTTTTATCTCGTGCAAAGTTCAGAAGAAACTCCCAACATCCCTCCAACATTTGGCATTAGCAAGAGACCAGACACCTGCCCAGAAAGCGGAATATCTCAGCCTCAAGGAGGAGATGAGGAAACGTACTCAAGCGGGGAAGAAGAATCTTCGCATTGTCACCAGGGGCACTCGACAGATTATTATACGGCATGCTCGAGCTGCGACTCCGAGCCAGAGCAGAAATCAGTAAAACAACAAATGGTCACGAGGTGGCGGTGTGCCTATAACAGCCCGTTGGAATTTACGAACTGTATTATTTGATACCTTATCACTATCAACCTACGAAGACATCGACATTGTGGGAATTCGTCTAGTGGAGAATCGCGATCTACTTCTGCTACTTGTCATATGCTTATCACCAGCTAGTGTTGGATATAGCAATCTTTAGATTCATTGAACTGCTCTATGTGCAATTATTATCTGTATTTAATTTATACTTCTTAGTTAATAATTTATATTTTTTTTTATTGTTTTCTACTCATAGCTGCGTAATATAAATGAGTCAAATATGGACTCAATCTAATTAAATATGTTTACGCGCCAGATGGCTGTCTTGTACTTAAAAACTAAATTTTTCTACTTATAAGTACTCTGTATATGTATTATTAACCCTGTTAATGGCTTTAGCTGTTGGGTTTGATTTTCAATAAATAAATAAATAAATAAATTAAAGCTCTTGATGAGCGTAACATCAGGATGAGCTTATATCTTAAAAAATGTGAATAATAAAGCAATCACGCTGTATTTTGTCCACTGATGATTTTTTTAACGATATAAGCTCATCCTGACATTACACTCATCGAGACCTTTTATTTGAGTACTTACATCAATTTTTCATATATTTTATATATTTATATATATGTATATATGAAAAATATATCAAAAATGCATGTGGGTACTCAAATGAAAGCTCTTGATGAGTGTAACATCAAGATAAGCTTATATCTTAAAAAACATCAATATCTAAGAAAATACATTGCAATTTAACAAAGCAAAATTGATTGCTAGTTTCAATTATACTGTATCATAAAATGTAGATTTTTCCTTTTAGTTATTAATTTTATGATAATTTTTCTTTTATTATTTATTAATAAAAAAAATTCTTGAATCAAGTAAAATTTACTTGAATAAAAAAAAATTTTCTAGTTTAAGTATTTTTCTACTCAAATTAAGATGAAGTTCTTAAAAATTATTTACTTAATCCAATTAAATTTTTTTTTCTGTGCACAAAAATTATGAAAAATAAATTTAAAACTCAGAAATACTATAAAAAATTTCTTTTCAGTGTGATATCTTCATCTAGACATAGACCAAGTGTCGACCATGGAAATTCATCGCAACATAGTCCTATAAGTTCACCCATAGCGTCAACAGCTTCGAGCCCAAGTCGTATGTCATTCAGCAGCCCAGTTGTACAGAAGCCAAATCAAGCTCAGCAACAGCAACAGCCACCCCAACCATTCAACCCTTTTATCTACGGCAATGACGTCGACTCAGTAGACGTAGCGACAAGAGTAGCAATGGTGCGATTTTTCAACTCACAGAATCTCCTGGCGAATTTCACTGAGCACACTCGTACACTGCGACTCTATCCTCGTCCGGTGGTTGCTTTTCAAATAAATTCATTTCTTCGCTCCCGGCCAAGGACTAGCGAGTTTCTGGACAAGTTTGCGAGGACTCAAGCCGTCGAATTTTTGGCTGAGTGGTCTCTTACGCCCAACAATGTCGCCTTTCTAAGAGTACAAACTGGCGTATTTGATCCGGCGCAAATCGGAGATAAGGGTCGCTGGTTTGCTGACTCGCTGGAGCCCATTTATTTTTCTGTGTGGGATGCTTCCAATTCTCTTATCAACGCTATCAAATCGCTCGAGGAAATGGAAAACCAGCCGACAGATGAAAGCGAATCTGATTCCGAAGGGGCTGATAGTACAAGCTCGTCTTATTCTTCTTTATCGGATTTCGTATCGGAAATGGCTTCTTCTGACTTATCTCCCAGTAAGTCTTTTTTTTTATTCTTTAAATTATTATTACTAAAGTTTTTGATGGCTTGTTTTACAAATTGTTCTATATTTTATGTCAAGATAGAGAAGAAGTTTATGTATATGCGGGAGAGATTTTATGTCTTATATTTTCGCCCGCATTTATTTTTTTATGTGGGTATGAACGAAATGTTGGACAACTTGTTAATAAATTAGTTGTAAAAAAATCAATATTACACTGATAAAAAAAATAAGCAGTGTTGTAGTGAAAAAATAATTTTTAAAAAATTTTCAACAATTTTATTTTTTAGATGAAGAAATAAAAATGTTTTTCACAGTAATTTGAATTGAAAAAAAATTATATTTTTTCCAAATCAAATAAACTATTTTTTTCAACAAGAAAGACAGTGTGAGAAAAATTTTAATTATTTAGGCTGCATTTGAAAATGCTCTATCTCTAGATACATAATTAAGAAATGACATTGTATCTTGTGAACTTTCGATATTTTTAAAGATATAAGCTCATCATGATGTTACACTCATCGAGACCTTTCATTTGAGTACCCACATCAATTTTTCGTATATTTTATATATTTGTATATATTATATATATGTATGTATGAAAAATATATGAAAAATTGATGTGGGTACTCAAATGAAAGCTCTTGATGAGTATAACATCGGGATGAGCTTATATCTTTAAAAATGTCAATAGTTAAGAAATGACATTGTATCTTGTGAACTATTGACATTTTTAAAGATATAAGCTCATCATAATGTTACAATAATCGAGACCTTTCATTTGAATACCCCCATGAATTTTTCATATATTTTGTATATTTATATATATTATATATATTTATTTATGAAAAATATTTCAAAAATGCATATGAGTACTTAAATAAAAGCTCTTGATGAATATAACATCGGGGTGAGCTTATTTCTTTTAAAACATCAATATATAAGGAAATACAATGCAATTTAACATAATTTATTATTTAATAAAGCAAAATTTTATTTATAGTTCAAAAGTCACGGCAGTCACACAGTGACTGCAAGTTTGTTAGTTTCTTATTACAACACTGATGCTTATTTTCTTCAAAAGGAATTTTTTCTTTCTCTGTAGAATAAAAAAAAACTAAAATTAATTTTTAAAATTAAAGGTAACCATCATTCACAAACAACCCAGCATCAGATGTCATTATCAGTGGATCCAAAAAATCTTTACAACCCTCCAGAATCATTACAGTATCCTGGTAACGAAGAAGACAATGCAGCGCGTCCTGACAGTCCAACAAGTACTTCTTCTAGTCACAGCGATCTCAGTAGCCCGAGTTGCAATAGAGACTCGGAATTAGAACTAAATCCTAAAGCTCAGGAACTCTTTCAAGTTCCAAAAAATGTAATCTATTATTTAAATTATTCAAAAAATCTATTATTTAAAAAAAATTTTTTTTAAATAGTATTTTATGATTATATTATAAGAAAAATTTTTTTTCAAATAGATGCCGCCAATAATTCCGAGTTTAGAGCGCCAGCCTAGCATTGGAAACGTTTTCGATCGTACACCAAGCTTAACTGGCGTAGGTCCGTTATTGCTTCGACAAATGAGTGCAGGGGAAAATTCTCAAAGAAGGTCCAGCTTGGCAAGTAGTCCCAAAGTAAACGAACGCTCGCCAGCTTCACCGATCAATCCATTCACTCGACAGAAGAGCGGAGAAAAAGTTGATGGTAATGGTGTACTTAGACAATCATCCCAAGGCTCATTGTTCGAACAATTTGCCTCTCAAGCCAAGGATTTGGTGCGAGAAACTACGAGACAGAGCAGTCAAGACGGGATTTTAGCACACATGGACAAGCTCAAGATCCAGGCGAAGGAAAAAATTACAGAAGCGGGAGAAGATAGTCTTTTTGCTCCACTAGAACATGTTAGTGAAATTATTTTAATTACTAGCAATTTACTTTTTGTCAGTACAAAGAGCTGCTAATCTATATTATAATGAGAATAAGAAAAATTTTATGTATTTTCAATGTTTTATACTATTCTCACTCATAGTCAATTTATTATGATAAGATAAGTATTTGGGCTGCATTCAAAAATGCTCTATTTCTAGATAAATAATTAAGAAATGACCTTATATCTTGTGAATTATTGACATTTTTAAAGATATAAGCCCATCCTGATGTAACACTCATCAAGAGCTTTCATTTGAGTACCCACATGCATTTTTGATATATTTTATTCATTATATATATGTATATATCAAAAATGCATGTGGGCACTCAAATGAAAGCTCTTGATGAGTGTAACATCAGGATAAGCTTATATCTTTAAAAATGTCAATAGTTAAGAAAGTACAATGCAATTTATCAAATATCTTGTGAAATATTGACATTCTTAAAGATATAAGCTCATTCCGACATTACACTCATCGAGACCTTTCATTTGAGTACCCACATCAATTTTTCATATATATTTTATAAAAATTTATGTGGGTACTCAAATGAAAGCTCTTGATGAGTGTAACATCAATATGAGCTTATATCTGTAAAAACATCTATATTTAAGAAAGTACAGTGCAATTTAACAAAAGTAATTATTTAATAAAGCAAAATTTTAATTATTTATTATTTATCATGTAAATTTTGCAGCTAACGCAGCAAACAAAAAAAGCAGTGGACGGTGCTACTAAGTCAGTGCAAGAAGCTTCCAAATCAGCATTGGAAGCGAGTAAAACAGCAGCAGGTGTCAGTAAAAACACTCTCGACGACTTGACTTACGTCGGAAAGAGCACTATTGGGGATTTAACTAAGAGTGCTAAGGAAGCAACGAAGAAAGGTCTATTGAAGGTAACAATAAATTCACCCGCCCGGAAAAGCTTTTACAAGATCAATAAATGCCTAATGTAATGCCTGATAATTTATTTCCAGAGCTTAGGGGAATCCCAGCAGTCCCCAGAACAAATGCCTCAATCAGCTCGTCAATCACTAAAGCGTGATTCATTGAACACTCAGTTAGTGGCGTCAGAAACGCGGGGCGGTCGCCGCGAAATTGGTCGTGATTTTTTCAGCAACGTCAGCAGCGATATTAATGGAATAGCCGCGCAAACGAGCAACATGTTCAGTGATTTATTCGGGAGTAAGAACAGCTCAAATCGAAACAGCAATAATTTATTATCAGGAGCCCAGAAAGTGAAAGACAAATCATCGATTCCGTCGTTCAGTCCTTTTAAGCGAGGCAAAGGCGGGCTTATGGATAAGAGTTCCTTGATTAAGCACACGAGTAATAGGAGCGACGCTGAGGATATACAACGAGCACAGAACAATGAACGGACTAATACTAACAATGACAATCAAGCTTTTATTACTGAAGTTATTAATCAGGTTCTCGCTGGAGAGGGAATAGGATACTTCAAGTTTAATAGATTGAAGAAGCTAATGGAAGACGAGAGCTATAGAGACGTCGTTGTTACTAAATTGAACCGGGGAATCAATCGTAAAATAAGTCCCGATGATCATATTGATGACGTTGTACGTATTTTATGATGTTAATTTGTCTAGATAAATTTATACCAATGGAATTGGGTAGATAGATAAAAATTTTATTTGACTCTGGAACCGAAGCTTCCTCAGAGCTATCAATATTTAAGATACATTGGTTTACATTTTTATATAATGTAACAAAATTCATTAATTAATTAAAGCCTTACAAGTAAATTTAATTAAAAATTTTAATGAAATACAGACAAATCATTTAATACAAAAAAATAATTTAAAGTTATAATTCAACATTGCTAATAGAAAATAATATTTTAAATGAGATAAAAATAAAAATTGCAATTATTAGTTATCATGTTGAAAAAAGTAATTGAAGCAAGCATTTTTAAATTCAACTAAATTATCTATAGCCACAGTCTCCTCTACGCAGTGCTACTGATAAAAAGTCTAATTTTAAGCCAAATAGCTGCTGATAATTTAGTCGAATTTCTATATAAAAAAGACAAGCAATAAAATAATCTTTTGTAGCGCCAAGCTTTAGTCAACCTAATTTTTTGAAATAACATGTTCATATTTTGGAATTTTATTAGATAAATCTAATGCATGAATTAAATTTCTGCTGCAACTTTAATAATAATTTGTTTGACATATTTGTATGGGTAAAAACTATTAATGTTAATCTTGATCATTTCAGTGTATATCTCGGGCAATTTATAAAGGAATGCTTATGTGCCTTCAAGCAGTAGCCAGTGGCTTAGCTCATACCTACAGTAATTACGGCCTCGGTGGTATGGCATCGGTATTTCAATTAATGGAAATTGCTCACACGCATTATTGGAGCAAAGATCTCAATGACGGGGTTTACGAAGCCCCGCTTATGCTACAAGTTTGTATATTTTTAAATAATGTAATTTAATACGTTTATAATGGAATTGCCGTGTAAATTATTCATATAGTACCTATGATGCAGAATGAATGGATAAAGTTTGTTTTTATAATGGGTAAAACTTTTCAGACGAGTTCATTTGAGAGTCATGAAAATTTACGAAAAAACTCTGCTAATAAGTCGGAGGTTGTTGATGTTACTAAAACGCTGTCGTCTCAACATTTACATGGTAATTTATACAATTTATTTAATAAACTTTTTACCATTAAAATTGGATTATATGTTTAAATTCAAACTCTAAGTACTTTAATTTATTTTATAATATTGAAGTTAGCTGACAACTAATAATTTTTTTAATTTTCATAAAAAATTAGTTACAACTACGAACCTTGCAGTCACTATGTGACTGCCATGGCTGGTGAACTATAAATAAATAAAATTTTACTTTATTAAATGATGACTTCTATTAAATTCCGCTGTATTTTCTTAAATATTGATGTTTTTAGAGATATAAGCTCATCCCGATGTTACAATCATCAAGAGCTTTTATTTGAGTACCCACATGCATTTTGATATATTTTTCATATATACATATATATAAATATATAAAATATATAAAAAATTGATGTGGGTACTCAAATGAAAGGTCTCGATAAGTATAACATCGAAATGAGCTTATATCTTTAAAAATGTCAATAGTTTACCAAATATAAGGTCATTTCTTAATTATGTATCTCATTACTAATAAAATTTATTTCTTAATTTCATTACGATAAAATTAAAAAAAAATTATTATTATTAAAGAAATAAATATATTATTTAATAATTTAAATAGATTGATTTTTTATTATTAATGTTTGACTTTTTGATATTAAATAAATTGGTCAATAAACTAAAATTTATATGTTATTTATTTTCAGACGGATCACAAGTTCATTTAGAAATATCGCATGCGGTCTCTCCGTCATCTACCTCTGACAGTAATCAATCGACGGCAGATTTATTTCTTGATATGTTTTCAAAGAAAGGAAAACTATTAAGTAAACTGGCGTCTTTTGATTCTGAAGGCGGTAGTCGTACGACACACGGGTCATCAATTATGAGCTTGGGCGGCGATTCCCCAGACAATAAAAATACTTTATCGAACCACCCGGCATTCCGGCAGTCACATCAGTCAACTTTATCAATACGTAGTGCTGTTTCTGATAGCGAAGTTGAGCAGGGTAACAACCGCAACGAAAAGCGAGGGAGTATTTGGTCTAGTAAATCATCCTTAAGTGCTGGATTTCGATACCATGGGGGCAATTTGTTGCCTACTACAACAACTCCCAGCCCTGAAGCCGCAAGAACTTATTTATTTGAAGGTAATTTCATAAATTTTTCTTCTTCCTTATTACTTCTTGTTTATAACTAGGGTAAAATTGAACCAAATATTGACCAGGCAACATAAAAATTTGATTAAAAAAAATTTAATAATTTAATTTTACATTCAGTATGTAATCATAAATTTTTAATTTTATTATTTAATTGTTGATTATAAAAAAAAAAAATAATAAGTTTGTGTACAAATATCAGAAAGTTAGAAAAGTAGTTATTAGAATTTAATTTTACCAAGTTTGGTAGGTACAATTATCATCAATTTATATGAAATTAAATTTTTCATAAATAATAAATGAGTATTAGTCAAAAAAATTTAATTATCATTAATTGTTTTTAAATGCTCTATCTCTAGATCCATAATTAAGAAATCACCTTGTATCTTGTGAAATATTGGCATTTTTAAAGATATAAGCTCATCCCGATGTTACACTCATCGAGACCTTTCATTTGAGTACCCACATCAATTTCTCATATATTTTATATATATATATTATATATATGTAATATATAAATATATGAAAAATGCATGTGGGGACTCAAATGAAAGCTCTTGATGAATGTAACATCGGGATGAGCTTATATCTTTAAAAATGTCAATAATTAAGAAAGTACAGTGTAATTTAACAAATATCTTGTGAAATATTGACATTTTTAAAGATATAAGCTTATCCTGAAATTACACTCATCAAGACCTTTCATTTGAGTACCCACATCAATTTTTCATATATTTTATATATTTATATATATATATTATATATATGAATATATGAAAAATATATCAAAAATGCATGCGGGTACTCAAATGAAAGCTCTTGATGAGTGTAACATCTGGATGAGCTTATATCTTTAAAAACATCAATATTTAAGAAAATACAGTGCAATTTAACAAAAGTCATTATTTAATAAAGCAAAATTTTATTTATTTATAGTTTACAAGTCATTGAAGTCACATAGTGACTGCAAGGTTGCTAGTAAACTATTAACTTCAGTGAATAGCTCATTTAATGTCAAAATTATTATAGATTAAAAAAAAGTTAATTATAAGTCTAGTAAGCGTATATTACTGGTCAGTATTAGGAACATGGTCAATATTTGAAGCCATCAGATGTAATAATAATTATTGCAACTTAATGTTTATTATTATATATTTTATAAAAAAAAAAGTATTTTAGTTTGTAAGTTAAAACTATAAAAAAAGCATAACTCTCATTTCAGCTCATAAACTTTTCCAATAAATTTACAAATAATGGACTTTATCTACTGATCAATATTTGGACCCCTTATCATATATCTAATAATTTATTCTTTTAAAGGTCTATTGGGGAAAGAAAGATCACGTCTTTGGGATCAAATGCAATTTTGGGAAGACGCGTTCCTTGACGCTGTATCACAAGAACGTGACATGATTGGAATGGACCAAGGTCCAGGTGAAATGATGGAAAGGTAAATGAAATAAAAAAAAATTTTGCTGAACCTCGACTAGAATATTAATAAAATATAATAAACTTTTTTATTAGATATAAAAGCCTAAGTGACAGCGAACGTCGTCGCCTGGAACATGATGAAGACCGACTACTTTGCACGCTGTTACACAATTTAACAGCAATACTGGTGATGTTAAATGTCGAAAAAGTGGAGCTGAAGCGGAAAATTCGTCGGTTGCTGGGTAAAAGTCACATCGGTTTAATTTACAGTCAAGAACTTAATCAGCTGTTAGATCAAATCGATAATCTGGTGAGTCTACTTAGTCAATATTAAATCAGTTAGAAACTTTAACACGCTAACTAACTGTTTTAATTGACTTTTCACTTTAATTGACCACGCCTACACTCTGAGGGGTTGTTTAAAATGTCCCACATGAATAATTGATTTATTAAAGAGTTGTTTAATTGTTTCAGCACGGCAATGACATCGATTTAAAGCCACTGACGTCTCGACAAATGCATAGACAGTCGTTTACCGTTCATGCTGGTACAGATGCCGACGGCGAGTTGCGTTTTCTAGAGGTTCGGCATGATGGATTAGTATTACGATCGGTAAACGGTGTAATTGTCGAGCGTTGGTGGTACGAGCGGTTAGTTAATATGACTTGTAGCCCTAAAAATAAGGTATTATGCTTATCTAAACGCAATGGAGATCAATTGGAGCTGCATAATTATTACACTAAAAAAGTAAGTTGCGAAATATTTTACTGTCAGACGGATTTTATTTAAAATTTTTTTTTTTAAATTGAAAAAAAAATTAACTTGAATGAAGAAAAAAATTCTTGAACCGAGAAAATAATTTTAAAGAGTTTCATTGTTTTATGCCACGCTGTTTTACTATTTGATTGCAAAACATTTTTGAAGGAAAAAAAAATTTGTTTTAATATAAATAAAAAATTTTTGAATGAATTTTTTTTATGTTCTAGCATAATAAAAATAGAAAAATTTATATTGAGACATAAAATTAAATGATTATGCATATGAAGTGATTTTATGATAATTTTTTTCTTCTATTATTAAATAGTAAAATTAAGAAGTATTTCTTAAAAAAAAAACTAGCAGTCACTATGTGACTTCAGTGACTTGTGAACTATTAATAAATAAAATTTTTCTTTATTAAATATTGACTTTTGTTAAATTGCACTCTAATTTCTTTACTATTGACGTTTTTAAAGATATAAGCTCATCCCGATGTTACACTCATCGAGAACTTTCATTTGAGTACCCACATGCATTTTTGATATATATTTCATATATACATATATGTAATATATATATATATATATATATATAAAATATATAAAAAATTGATATGGGTACTCAAATAGAAGGTCTCGATGAGTGTAACATCGGAATAAGCTTATATCTTTAAAAATATCAATAGTTCACGAGATACAAGGTCATTTCTTAATTATTGACATTTTTTAAGATATAAGCTCATCCCGATGTTACACTCATCAAGAGCTTTCATTTGAGTACTCACATACATTTTTGATATATTTTTCATATATACATATATATAATATATACAAATATATAAAATATACGAAATATTGATGTGGGTACTCTAATGAAAGGTCTCGATGAGTGTAATGTCAGAGTGAGCTTATATCTTTAAAAATGTCAATAGTTCACAAGATATAAGGTCATTTCTTAATTATAAGTGTCTTAAAATGTAGATTTTTTCTTATAGTTATTAATTTGACGATAATTTTTCTTCTACTATTAAATAGTAAGAAAAATTCTTGAATCAAGTAAAATTTACTTGAATCATGAAAAATTTTCTAGTTTTATGTAACGCATGTAACAAAATTATTAACTTAAATTTATTGTGTTAACAGAGTAAAGATCTCTACTACTGCATAAAAGACGCGATAGAAAAAGCAGCAGCTCGCGGTCGGGCTAATCTCGGAGTAGAGCTAGGCGACGAATTTCCTGTACAGGATGTAAAAACTGGGGAAGGCGGGTTACTGCAAGTATGCATTGAAGGTGTGGGATTACTTTTTGCCAATAGCAAGGTATGAGATTATCAAAATTTTAATATACGTTCTTTATATTTAAATTTAATATTAACTTTTTTTTTTAAACTATTTTTATTCTTTTATTATCTATTAATCAGTTTTATTTTCTATTGTTGTTTATTCTAAATTACGCTCTGTATTTTTTTATAAAACAACAGCTTTATATTTTAAGCAAAAATAGTAAAATATGTACCGAAATTTAAATAGGTACTTAAATAAAATTTTCTTTGTATTTATTTTTAGAAAAAAAAAAATAGAATTTAGTATCAAAAAAATCCGTCGATTCTTTTTTATTATTTTAATTTTTTTTTAATTTTATTAATTACATCTCAACGCCAAGGACCACTCAATATTATCTCCTACAAATTTTGTATTGTATAAAATAATTATCTATTAATAGATTTAGAATTAATTAGATAATAAATAGTAAAAATAATACAAAAAAATATATATAAAAAAAAAATTATCGGATAAAAAAAAATTATATATTATTTTATAATATTTATATTTTTTATTTTATTTCTTCATGCATTTTTCTTCCATGTTTATATTAAATTGCATGCCTCAATGTGCAGCTATAAATATGAATTATATAATTATAATTACTGTTTTTTTATAATATTTATTTTATCATTTAAATTTTATAAAATTTTAATAATTATATATGATAATGGTTGCCATATTATCTTTTTTTAAAAATAATTTTATTATTTATTATTATTAATGAATTTATTTTTTAAATAATTAATTTTTAATTTTTTTTTTCGCTAAATATATATTTAAAAAATATATATAAATGTTGAATGCCATATTTTAAATCGAGCAAATAAATTTAATTAAATAATAATTATTATTATTATAAGATAAATAAAATTTATTATATATAAAAAAGTTTATTTTTTTTATATGTGGGGAACTTTTGAGATGGTCCTTGTTTATCGTCGCCTAATTATTTATTTCTATTAAATTGTAGTTGCGTCAACTAAGCGGTGATAAATAATAATATTGTCCTGTAGAAATAATATTATTAATATATTTATTAATCTAATTATTTAAGAAATATATATAAATATATATTTCTGTTTGTTGTCCTGTCTTACGACAATGCCCCTTCTCATTCTGGCTGGACAAACAGGATTTCGAGGTATATTTAACAACTGACTCATTGTGCAATTTATTATTTTATTATTAATATAAATGTTGCCCGTTTTTTTTTTTTTTTTTTTTTTTTTTTTTTTTTTAGTTTTACATTAAAATTTATTTTTAACTCTTAAAGACAATAATGTTCATTTGTCAGTATTATTATTATAAAACAAACCAAGTATTTTTTTTTTTAGTAATAGTATATTACATACCTAAGCCAGTAAAGTAAGAAAAGTCTCAGATTACATGTAATTAGACAAACATATGGTCTAAGGATTTATTTTTTACTGGCTAAAGTGTGTAGACTATTTTTTTGCTCGACGGAGATGGAAAGAATAAGATGACACTGGATATCATCCTAGATTATATTGAGTAAAATCCAGATATCACTCAGTATAATCTGGATTTTTTTTTGCACAGAAAAAAAGGTTCACTTGAACCAAAAAAATATTTTTCTTCCTAATTATTTTCTTGAAAAAAAAAAATTTTTTTTGATAAGAAATTTCACTTATTCCAACAAAATTAATTCTCTTGCTTTAAAAAATACGTATCTTGATCCAAGAAAATTTATTTAAGTCAAGAAAATCTTGTTGTTTTGAGAAAATTCAACCTCTCGCTCCAAAAAATTAAATATAAAGATAGAAGTAAATTTTCATTAATATTTTTATTGATTAACATGTCAAATGGGAAGATCAAATAATGTTTCATCATTTTTTTTTCATTATATATGTATAATTGCACGCTAAAATAATATAAAATAGGTATCAAATATTCAAGAGAAAAATTTTCTCAAGGTGAGAAAATTTTTTTCTCAGCTGAAGTAAGTGGCGCTGCTTCCCTAAAGTATCTAAAAATCTTGATCAAATATAAAAATTTATTGTATCAAGTATTTATGATAATTTGAATTAAGAAAAAATGACTTCCATCAAGAATTTTTCTTTCTGTCTAACTACTATCTGAAATTTTTTTTCACCAAATTGCAGATATCACTGAGTATAATCTGGGATGATATCCAGTGTCATCTTGTTCTTTCTGACCGGAGGGCAGAAAAAATATTATTTAATTATGTTTAAGTGCTTTATCACATTGCAATTTAACTATTATTATTTTATTTAATTATATTTTTTTTTTAAATAATTATTTAGATTGTCACTAATAAATGTTAGATGTATGATACATGTTTTGTTAAATAACATAATATAATACTACCACAAAACTAATGTAATAAATGAACTCCGAGCAGGATTCGAACCCTGCTCTATTTAGTTACAAGTTCAGCCGTACAATAATTCGTACATGCACAAAACAATTTTTATTAAAATCACAAAAATTCCTGTTTTTTACCTAGAATTTTATAAAATAATTATATTAAATAAAAAAATAAATTACAATCACTTATTAACAATTAAAAATCGCATCCTAGGTAATTTAGAAAATTAGAGTTCACCGCTCGTGTAGACACACTCGATGCACACATTTAGCACTTAAATAATACTCCTACTATTATTATCATTATTGTTATTATTATTATTATTATCATTATAAATTATTTACAATAATATTTATCTATATAATCTATGGTTTTTGAAGTTAGGCCATCTCCAGAGTTGCCTGTCACTGCTTCAACGTTGCAACAACACTTTTTATTTACTGTTACATAATTATAATTGTCATTTTATTTTTACTTGTAAATTAATATTAAAAAATGTGCTTTTTTTTTGTCCATGGCTTTTTTGCGCTGGCACTTTTTTAAAAAATGATGTGCATGAAATTAAAATTATAGATTAATTTTTAATAATTATTATTATTATAATTATTTATTTTTTTGTTGTGGAAATTTTGTAAAATAGTTATTTATTTGCTTGCAGTTTTTTGTAAGGTTTGAACATATTCGCAAGTGCTTTACACAACACGGAGGAATTTTTGTGCTTGAAGAATTCAGTGAGTATTAATTTTTATTATTTATTAAGGGGGGAAGTCCATGTAAAATCCTCAAAATCGGTTATTTTTGAAAAATATTTTTAACGGTGATAAATAATTTTATTGACTTTTAAACTTTAACACAACTTTATTGAACCTTTTTAAAGTAGGAAAGTAATTTTTTTTTCCTTTTAAAATACTGGCTCAGGATAATTTTTTGTTTGATATCTCTGACGCGAGATATGTTAAATTTTCATGTGTAGAATGTTTGATAATGTTTATATACAATAAATAGTATCTGTAAAGAGAAGATAGATTTAGAGAAAATTAATAATTTTTCTAGTAAATAAATTACTGCATAAAAAAAAATGGACATTTTTAAATTTTGATAAATTAAAAATGCATTTTTTTAAAAATAGTTTTTCGGAACAAATTTTTTTGTTAAATAAAATTAAAAAATGGTCAAGTGACAGCTAACTTTAATATCATATAAATTTAAGATTAAGAGATTTGAGAGAAGAGAAAAACAAGAAGAAAAGTTTCCCCCTTAATGAAATTAAGATTAATTGATAACTAATGAGTTTTTTTTTATTTATTTTCAGATCCTAAAACACGGCAAATAATTCAACATAAATATTTATCTTCAATGGTTTGTATTATAAATTTAACATTTATTTATTGATTTTATCTGATGGATGATTATTTAATTTTTTTTTTTTTTTTAGGCAAGAGAAATATGCTACGCAGTAATTTGTGTGTTTTCCTACTTGGCGACTGGAGTGAAACAGCGAAAATTATCTAAACAAGAGCAAGAATCAATATCTAATACGGGTGTGACTATAAAAGAAAGAAAAAATAAACATACTGACAATTAAAATTATATTTGAAGATATATAGAGTTTAAATGATTTTTAAAGTGATTAAAAATCACAAATAATTGTTTATATTAATATAAAAAAATTGTAAATATAAATATTGATATTTAAAACTTAACTTATTCGAGCCAAAGAATAGTTTTAGTAATTTTAATTATTTTTTAATACCTTTGATATTTTAATGAGTTGTAGACCTGATAAGCAATACCCGTATGAGTGCCTACATGATAAATTTGTATTTATAATTATAAATTGATTTTTTTATTTGTATTAAAATTTATTTTTAACCTGTTGAAAATCTTTATTTAAATTACTAATTATCTGAAGAAAATAATATCGATATTAAATTTATATAACAATAGTTGCCTGATTATCATTTATATTAAATCACTAAGGGATGTATAATAGTAATGTAAAAAAATAATAAGCTTAATAAAACAAGAGTAATAATTTATCAATATAGAATGAAACATATTCACTATTTTGTAGTTGAAAGATAATAATTAATTAATAAGAGAGCATTCAAAATAATTATTGTAAAATTGTAAGCGAAAATACTAAAATGTTTAATGAATATGATTAATAAAAAAAATATATAATTATATTAATTAATGTCTTAATTTCTTTAAAATTTAAAGAAATTTTTTTTTTTATTAAATTCTCATTACCTTTAAAAATAATATATATATACATATAAAATCTTTACTTACTTAATAATTATTAATTAATTAATTGATGATAATGATAATAAATTGAACATATATGCACTTCCGACGTCAAAAATTATTTCTTCACAAAAAAAAAACGATATTTTATAAAATTTATTATTATTTTTATTGCTATTATTATTATAATTTCACAAATTTTTAATTGTTTTAAAAAAAATTTTGAACTCAAATTTTTAACAATAATTATGAAGAATTTTCAGAAAACTTATTATTATTATTATTATTATTGTTATTATTATAATTTCACGATTTTTTAATTAAGTTTTAAAAAAAATTTGAACTCAAATTTTTAACAATTATGAAGAATATTCAGAAAATTTCATTATTATTATTATTTTTATTGTTTTCATTATTATTATTAACATGTCTTACCATATAATGGTAATATAAAAAAAATAGTACTCGTAGTATATATAGAACATATAAAAGAAAAAAAAAAAGGTGAGTTTTCAGTGTGTTTGGTGCTGATCTGTGCGAGTTGTACAATTAGTTCCACACATCCCTGACAGTTTGTCCACGTTTTTATTAACCCAAAGTGCAGGTAAATAATTAATTTACAAATAATAATTACCATAAAAATAATCTTATCATATAAATATAAATTTACTTGCAAATTCTGACGTTATTATGTTTTATAGATCACTAAAATTTTATAATTTAGGTTAAGCTAACCATCTGCTACAATTTTTAACCTACAATTAATATTTTCTAAAAATTGAACAATTAAATATTAACTTATTTAAATATTCTATATTTTTTTACCTTAAAAAAATAAAAAAAATAAAAAAAAAAAAAAAAATTTTTTCAAGTAATTCAAGAAATTTTTTATTGATGAATTTTTTTTTTCAGGACAAAATAACTAACCATGCCTCCGAAAAAGTCGATGGAGGAGACGGATAAGTTGACAAGAATTGCAATCGTCAATTCTGATAAATGTAAACCGAAACGATGCAGGCAAGAGTGCAAAAGATCTTGTCCAGTAGTGCGTATGGGTAAGCTTTGCATAGAAGTTACTCCAAACACTAAAATTGCATCAATTTCTGAAGAGCTCTGTATCGGATGCGGTATTTGCGTTAAGGTAAAATAATAATATTCTTTTTCAATTTCCTATAATAATAATAATAATCAATGAAAATTAATTTAGCTGACCCTTTAAAATCAATAGTTAATTCATTAAGATAAGTATTTAGGCTGCGATCGAAAATGCTTTATTTCTAGATACATAATTAAGAAATGGCCTTTTATCTTGTGAAATATTGACATTTTTAAAGATATAAGCTCATCCTGACATTACACTCATCAAGACCTTTCATTTGAGTACCCACATCAATTTTTCATATATTTATATATATTATATATATATGTATATATGAAAAATATATCAAAATGTATGTGGGTACTCAAACGAAAGATCTTGATGAGTGTAACATTGGGATGAGCTTATATCTTTAGAAATGTCAATAGTTCACAAAATACAACGTCATTTATTAACTATTGACATTTTTAAAGATATAAGCTCATCCTTGAGTTACACTCATCGAGACCTTTCATTTGAGTACCCACATCAATTTTTCATATATTTAATATATTTATATATATATATATATGTATATATGAAAAATGTATCAAAAATGCATGTGGGTACTCAAGTAAAAGCTCTTGATGAGTGTAACATTATGATGAGCTTATATCTTTAAAAATATCATAAGTTGACAAAATACAATCTAATTTCTTAATTATTGACTTTTTTAAAAATATAAGCTCATCCCGATGTTATACTTATCGATACCTTTCATTTGAGTACCCAGATCAATTTTTCATGTAGTTCATATATTTATATATATATATATATATTACATATATGAACTACATGAAAAATATATCAAAAATGTATGTGGGTACTCAAATGAAAGCTCTTGATAAGTGTAACATCACTCTGAGCTTATATTTTTAAAAACATTCATATTTAAGAAAATACTGTGCAATTTAACGAAAGTTATTTTTAAACCAAAATTCTATAGTCCACTTACTTTGCTATCCACTTGCTATCCAATTTAAAAAAAAAAAAAAAAAAAAACTAAAAAAATCTAAGCTAATTACAGTATCAATCATTAATCAAATCATAAAATTTCCAGAAATGCCCATTTGAAGCAATATCCATCATCAACTTACCAAGTAACCTAGAGAAAGAAACAACGCACAGATACTCGAAAAATTCCTTCAAACTGCACAGACTCCCTATCCCCCGCCCGGGCGAAGTTCTCGGTCTGGTTGGCACCAACGGAATAGGAAAATCCACGGCGTTAAAAATCCTAGCCGGCAAACAGAAGCCGAACTTAGGTAGATTCACCGACCCACCAGACTGGACGGAGATCCTGAGTTACTTCCGAGGCAGCGAGCTTCAGAATTACTTCACCAAGATCCTGGAAGACGATCTGAAGGCCTTGATCAAGCCCCAGTACGTCGACCAGATTCCCAAGGCAGTAAAAGGAACGGTCCAGCAGCTGCTGGACAAAAAGGACGAGTGCGGTAAGCAAGAACAGATCTGCGAGATGCTGGACTTGTTACACATCCGCGACCGGGGTATCGAGGCTCTGTCCGGAGGAGAGCTTCAGAGGTTCGCTTGCGCAATGGTCTGCATACAGAACGGCGATATATTTATGTTCGATGAGCCGTCGTCTTATCTTGATGTTAAACAACGTCTCAACGCTGCTGTGACCATCAGGTCGCTTATCAGTCCAGATAAATTTATTATTGTGGTAGAACATGATTTGTCTGTTCTAGATTATCTGTCTGATTTTATCTGTTGCCTCTATGGAGTCCCAGGGGCTTATGGGGTCGTCACTATGCCCTTCAGTGTTAGAGAAGGCATCAATATTTTCCTTGATGGCTTTGTGCCGACGGAAAATTTGCGGTTCCGTGAAGAGTCGCTTGTTTTTAAAGTCGCTGAGAGCGCCAATGAGGAAGAAATAAAACGGATGAATCATTACGAGTACCCAGCGATGAAAAAAACAATGGGCTCTTTTGAATTGCACGTTGAGAAAGGTCAGTTTACTGACTCGGAAATTTTAGTCCTCCTTGGAGAAAACGGGACTGGAAAAACGACATTCATAAGAATGCTGGCTGGAAATCTCCCACCTGATGATGGATCTGGTAATATTCCCATGCTACATATCAGCTACAAGCCCCAGAAAATAAGTCCCAAGTCCCAGGGAATTGTTAGACAGCTGTTGCACGAGAAGATCCGGGATGCGTACATTCACCCCCAGTTTATCACTGATGTGATGAAGCCGCTCAAGATTGATGATATCATGGACCAAGAGGTCCAAAATTTGTCCGGCGGAGAATTGCAGCGGGTCGCTCTGGCACTTTGTTTGGGAAAACCAGCTGATGTTTATTTGATTGATGAACCATCGGCTTACTTGGATTCGGAACAACGTTTGGTGGCTGCTAAGGTTATCAAGCGGTTTATTTTACATGCTAAGAAGACTGGGTTTGTGGTGGAGCACGATTTTATTATGGCGACTTACTTGGCTGATAGGGTTATTGTCTTTTCGGGGGTGCCTTCGATGAATACTACTGCTCACTGCCCTCAGTCGTTGCTTAATGGGATGAATAAGTTCCTGGAGTTGCTGGGGATTACTTTCAGGAGGGATCCTAATAATTTTAGGCCGAGGATTAATAAAAATCAATCTGTGAAAGTGAGTATTTATAAAGAAAATTTTTTTTTTTTTTAATTAAATTTTTTATTCAAGATTTTATTGAATTTTATATTCAACTTTTTATTGAAAATTTTATTAAATTTTTTAGTTAAAATTTTATTGAATTTTTTAGTAAAAATTTTATTACATATTTGGTGAATATTTACAAGTCCACGGAAAGGAATAAGATGACACTGAATACCATCCCAGATTATACTCAGTGATATCTATGGTGAAAAAAAACTTTAGATAGTAGCTAGAAAAATCCGGATTAACTAATCTGGATTATACTAGCTACTATCTGAAATTTTTTTTCACACAGTATAATCTGGGATGATATCCAGTGTCATCTTGTTCTTTCCATGTGGGGTTCACCATTTTAATTTTCAGTTTTATGAACGAAATTTTCATTTGATTTTATTGATATTTTTTTTGAAAAATACATAAAAAAATGAACAATTAAAAAACAAAATTGATTATCAAAATTTTCACAAACTTTTTTATTATTAATTTTTTATTAATTAATTTTTTTTTTTTTTTTTTTTTTCAGGACGTTGAACAGAAAAGAGCAGGGCAATATTTCTTCTTGGAGGAATAAATATAAATTATAATTATTATTATAATAAAAAGTGAATAATGAATTATATTATGAAATAATTCGTAATAATTTGAATATAAAATACTGATGAGTTTAAATAATAATAATAGTTGTTAATTGTCCACAACAGGGTGGCCGTTAACGGGAATTAGAAGGGATTATTGGAAAGTTTTATGTAAACGATAAATATGGAAATATTACAGAGTTTCAAAGATTTTTTTTAGTGATTTTAAAATTAAAATTCTTTTTTATAAAAATTTGTTTTTATATTGAATATAATTTCAATATTTTTTATAGTTATTTAAAATTTCTAAGATGTAAAATTTTGAAATTAAATAATTTTCCCGCAAATTTTTATAAGCTTTATAATTATACCCAATAATATTTCCTGTAAAATTTTTTATAAAATTAAAAAATAAACCACCAGTAATTTATTTTAATAGATTTTTTAATTTAACTCTTAAATTTTTTTTTTTTTTTCAATAACTAATATTTACAATTTTTTGAAAATATATACATTTTGTATTTATTGCAATTTTATATTTTTCAAATAAATTGAGCTGCTTACATCTTATCTTAAATTTTCTATTACAGACGATACAACAAACACAATTAATTTAAAAATAAATAAAATTACAACAAAAAAAAAAAAATAAGGAGCTAACAAATTAATTTAATTAATCAATGGCCACTCTGAATAAAAATAAGCTTATATCGTAAGCATTATAATTTATTTATATCACTCATTCTCTTATCTAATTACAATGTACCTTTTAATTAAAATTCTTCATATATTTATTTATTAAATATTAAATATATTATATAATTCATCTGTTCAAGAATATTTTTATCTGATATTTACGTAACAAAAATTGACAACAACGTGGTTTTAATATAACATGTTTTGAAAGCACTGTATGTTAAATTATTACTTAATATATCACTTGAACACTTAGGTAATTTAAATATATACATATGTATATATATATTTAATGGCTTCCCGCCTTTATTAATCCGCGAAAATTATCTGCGTCAAAATTTCTCAAAACAAAGTTTACTAGAACATAAATTAATTTGATAAAAATTAATTATCATTTAAGACTAATCATCCGGGATTAATTTTCGAATAGGCCCTTTAATCATTGGTTTTGTTGCGCCCTTTTATTTAAAGTAAATAAATACTTCTTTAATATCAATTACAAATTTAATTATAACACTGGCAACCTTGCAGTCACTATGTGACTTGTGAACTATAAATAAATAGAATTTTGGTTTAGAAAAATAATGACTTTCGTTAAAATGCACTGTATTGTCTTAAATATTGATGTTTTTAAATATATAAGCTCATCCCGATGTTACATTCATCAAGAGCTTTCATTTGAGTACCCACTTGCATTTTTGATATATTTTTCATATATAAATATATGTAATATATATAAATATATGAAAAAGTGATGTGGGTACTCAAATGAAAGGTCTCAATGAGTGTAACTCTTGGATGAGCTTATATCGTTAAAAATATCACCAGTAGACAAAATACAACGTCATTGCTTTATTATTGACATTTTTAAAGATATAAGCTCATCCTGATGCTACACTCGTCAAGAGCTTTTATTTGAGTACCCACATCAATTTTTAACATTTTTCATATATACAAATATATATAATATATATAAATATATGAAAAATCGATGTGGGTACTCAAATGAAAGGACTCGATGAGGGTAATGTCAGGGTGAGTTTATATCGTTAAAAATATTATCAGTAGAGAAAATACAACGTCATTGCTTTATTATTTACTTTTTTTAAGATATAAGGTCATCCTGATGTTACACTTATCAAGAGCTTTCATTTGAGTACTCACATGCATTTTTGATATATTTTTCATGCATACATATATATAGTATTTATAAATATATACAATATATGAAAAATTGATGTGGGTACTCAAATGAAAGGTCTCAATGAGTATAATGTCAGGGTGAGCTTATATCTTTAAAAATGTCAATAGTTCACAAGATACAAGGTCATTTCTTAATTATGTATCTAGAGATAATTTTCGAATGCAGCCTAAATACTTACAATAAATCAACTATTGGTGAGAATGATATAAAACCTTGAAAAGGCACAACTCCAGGTCAAGACTTTTCTAACAATACCAAATTTAACCATAAAAACCCTTTTTATCATATAAATATACCAGCCACAAAATTTTCCTTATCCTCTTAATATGACACATTTTTTAATATAAATAAAATAATATAATTAATAATCTAAATTATGAGCAATGACAACTTTTGGTATAAAAAAATATATTTAAAGATATTTTTGCCATCAGAAAATTTTTCTAGATTAACATACTGATAAGAAATTTTGTCGTAGGTAATTATTGCATGAAAAATAAAAGACGGTCACCATATATAATTTATAATATATATATATATGAATAAAAATATCAATCGATAATATTCAAACAACAAGATGAGAAATATCAACAGGATACGTGATAGGGGACAGTCTAATATCTTCAGTGCGAGTTCTGTCCCGCGTTCGGAAGTCTCTGTCACCTGGCCAAGCTCTGCCAGGACTACGAGGGCTGGTTCTCTCAATGAAGCTGGTGCTGGCGACCGCGTTGTCCACAGCTAAGCTTACAGACGATGTCCCGGGTTCGTGTAAGCTAGGTCTCTGCTGAGACGTCGAGGGTCCCATCATTTGGGCCCTAAGAATCTTCCTTTTTTCTACATTGCGTCTCCACTTTTCAGCCATGTGTCTCGCGACGTCCAGCCTCTTCTGCTTTTTATTCTGATGCTTCTTGTAAGCCACTTCGATGATAATCAGCCCAACGCCTCCGACGATTCCTATCGCCACTAAAATAAACACCCCGGCCATATTCTTCAAGCCCAACGTGTTTGGAGTGTTGTCATTTATCTCGCACTGCTGAACACTGCCTTGTAAAATCCACTCTTTATCCAGTGTCTCCATGAACCCAGCTGTATATAAATTTAAAATTCAATTTAGATTTTATAAAAATGAATATTGATACTTTGTTTTGAATTTAAAATAAAAAAATTTATGGAATAATTTACCCTCATGAAAGTCTAAAATCGCCAATGTAACAGCGTCGGTCCAGGGTGATCCTTTTTGGAGACCAACTCCGTATCCAGATCGCCCGAATAATTCGCCAGCTGTTACCAATTCGCAGTCTTTGGCAGCTTCGAATTCTAAGCGTGAACTATCCCAGATGAAAGCCATCAGTTTGCCTATTTTAACGTCATGAATAGCATCTTCTACGGTATCGTAGTTATTAGCTTCCATTGTTCGGTACATGTTTGACAGCTCTACTTGTCGCCTGAAATACATGTCTACTGCTGAGCCTTTTACCGTCGCACAAGTTAGATTCTCCATGGTATTTCTTAACTAAAAATTATAATAAAAAATATTAATTTTGAAAATTTTAGATTCTTGAAAAATCATTCTGGTTTATAACTTAAGAAATTACCTTGTATCTTGTGAACTATTGACATTTTTAAAGATATAAGCTCATCCCGATGTTACACTTATCAAGACCTTTCATTTGAGTACCCACATCAATTTTTCATATATTTATATATATTACATATATACATATATATGAAAATGCATGTGGGTATTCAAATGAAAGCTCTTGATAAGTGTAACATTAAGATCAGCTTACATCTTAAAAAATGTGAATAATAAAGCAATGACATTGTATTTTGTCCACTGATGATATTTTTAACGATATAAGCTCATCCTGGAGTTACACTCATCGAGATCTTTCATTTGAATATCCACATCAATTTTTCATATATTTCATATATTTATATATATTACATATATCTATAAATGAAAAATATATCAAAAATGCATGTGGGTACTCAAATGAAAGCTCTTAATGAGTACAACATCGGAATGAGCTTATATCTTTAAAAATGTCAATAATTATTAAATGACCTTATATTTTGTGAACTATTGACATTTTTAAAGATATAAGATCATCCTGATATTATACTCATCAAGACCTTTCATTTGAGTATCCCCATCAGTTTTTCATATATTTCATATATTTATATATATTACATATATACATATATATGAAAATGCATGTGGGTATTCAAATGAAAGCTCTTGATAAGTGTAACATCGGGATGAGTTTATATCTTCAAAAACGGCAATAGTTAAAAAAATACAGTGCAATTTAATAAAAGTAATTATTCAATAAAGCAAAATTTGACACGGCAGTCAAATAAAAATTTCTTTTTTTTTTCGAGCGTCGAAACCAGAGAATGATCCCTTAAAGACAATTTTAAATAAAAAACACTTACTCTTGCATCATTGATACCAGTAAGTTTAGTCTTGGGACGTTCCAGCACGAGGAAAGCCGCCAAGTTGGCAGTGTAAGAAGCCACTATGATCATCGCGAATCCAGCCCATACCATACCAAGTACGCGGGCGGAAAAACTTCTCGGAGTGCCTTCGCCAATCCCGCTATTCAGCAGCACACCCCAGGCGAACCACACGGCGCTGGAGAGGTTCAACGCGTCCTCTTCGGTGCCGTCAGCGTTAGCTAGCTTGAACCTCCCGAAGGGTGAAAACCGGTCGAGGAGGTACAGGGCAAGCGCAACGACGTGCACCGATACCATTACCAGGATCCAAAGGGTGTTGCTGAAAGGTTGAAGGAAAGACACCAGTGTTGATGATCGCGACGGCTGCAATTAAAAAATTATTTTCTTTAACTTCTATCCAGAAAAGTCCGCCACTATTCTCTGAAATTATTTACTTTTTTTTCCAGGATAGTAATCCCCTGGTATTTGAACGGCTTACTAAACTCGATGAACTCTGCGCGCTCTGGATTTATTGTCAGCGGCGCTACTATCATATCAGCTCGCTCATAAACGAGCTCGCCGATTAAACCAGTCCATACTTTTTTATTCCCAACTGCGATCAAAGAATAAAGTAAATTGTAAGTCGTCAATTGTAATAGTAATAGTAACAGTAAGAGTAAGAGGATTATTTATTTTGTTATATTAAATTAAATGAAAGTCTTACTCACCACTGAGGTCATTTATTACATAGTGACCGAATTGTCCGTCGGGAGACAAAGCCAGGTCATAAGTAAAGTTAATAGCTTTCGCCAAAGCTTTTAGCAACTCTATGCAGTACCCTTTGCAACAGTAAAGAGTAGTTTCTAAAATAGAAAATAAATTACATTTAGTAAATAAGTTTCGACAGATATGAAAGCTCCTCTCTTCCGCTTTACCTAAGTTTCAATTTTCTTTCATATTATAATATCTTTTGTGACATTCTTATGACTTTCAAAAATAAATTAATGAGAATTTTACTTGAATGTAAATTAATCCATTCTGAGAGGTTTCAGAAATTTAGTGTCATTGCAAAGGTCTTGACTGGAATTTGTGCCTTTTATAGGTTTTATATCATTTTCACAGATAGTCAATTTATATGATAAGTATTTAGGCTGCATTAGAAAATAATCTATCTTTAGATACATAATTAAGAAATGACCTTGTATCTTGTGAACTATTGACATTTTTAAAAATATAAGCTCATTCCGATGTTACACTCATCAAGACCTTTCATTTGAATACCCACATCAATTTTTCATATATTTATATATATTATATATATGTATATATGAAAAATATATAAAAAATGCATGTGGGTACTCAAATGAAAGCTCTTGATGAGTGTAACACCGAGATGAGCTTATATCTTAAAAATATATATTATATATATGTATATATGAAAAATATATCAAAAATGCATGTGGGTACTTAAATGAAAGCTCTTGATGAGTGTAACATCGAGATGAGCTTATATCCTTAAAAACGTCATTATTTCAGAAAGTACAGTGTAATTTAACAAATTTCATTATTTAACAATGCAATTTAAGAAATATCTTGTGAACTATTGACATTTTTAAAGATATAAGCTTATCCCGATATTACACTCATCGAGACCTTTCATTTAAGTACCCACATCAATTTTTTATATATTTATATATATGTATTTATGAAAAATATATGAAAATGCATGTGGATACTCAAATGAAAGCTCTTGATGATTGTAAAATCAGGATGAGCTTATATATTATCTTTAAAAAGGTCAATAGTTAAGAATATACAGTGCAATTTAACAAAAGTCATTATTTAATAATGTATATCCTATTAAATATTATTATATTTTTTAGGGTCTAATGCACAGGCGCCATGCACCTCTATAGAATGTCTACCAGAAGTAAAATAAATAAAAAATAAATAAATAAATAAATTTACTCAGAAGTTAAAAAAAAAAAAAAATTGTGAAATAAAAATACATACTATTAACTGTACTGTTGTCGTAATGAGGACAAGGGACCTCATCGGGTAAGCATTCTTCTTCTTGAATAACTCGAACGTATACAAAAGGCTTTTCTGGAATCGTCAGCACTTTGAGATGAGTTGGGATCATTAAGCCTTCAGGCTTAACCGTTTGACGACCGGGCCACAATATCGACGTTTCGTTTAATCTCAGTATCATCTTACGTGTATCCTATTTAATGATAAGGTTTCATTGTTCTTTAAATATTTATTCATCAATTATCAATATAAACAATCTACAGTATTTTTGTAGATCTATTATAGATTTTTAAGAAAACTAATTAATAAATAAATAAAAACTTACAAGTGAGAAGTAGTACTGGCCAATAGAATTTCTAACTCCTTCTTCCTGGACATTAACGATGTTGTATTCAGAGTAAATCCGGTCGCCATTGTCGTCAAAAGCCACTCTTCCGGTAGCTCCTTTTTCCAAGACCTGCTTCCGAATAAATCCAAACAAGTCTTTACCAGTTTCCCAAATAGCTCCTGAGTTGTCGCAGTCTTTCGGAGCTTCTGTGATTACTTTTGTTTCATTCATTTCTCGGAGCGCTGACACCAGAACATACCTATCGATTAATTTTACCAATATTTATTATTGAAACATTTAATCATTTTAAACAAATAAAATTTGACAAAAAAAAGTAACTAAAATTGAGAGACATAATAATTTTTAGAATTTTTTTAACAAATCATTACAATAAAAAAAATTTATTAAAAAAATATAATACTGAAATTTATAGACATGCCATTTTTTTTTTTTTTTATTTTATTAGTGACTAAATTGTTATAGAAAAATTTTAATTAAAAAATTCTACGTTTAAATTAAAAAAAAAAAATTACAAGTGCAATTTTTTAAAAATGATTTTCTAGATCTACTTTATTTTAAAAAAAATTTTTAAATTATCAAGCGTCAGCTGATTTCAGTGCATAAAACCAAAATTAGCCGACGTTCAAAAATTTTTTATTTTTTTTCTAACAATTAAATTGCAAGTAAAAAAATATTTTTTAAAAATTACACGTATAATTTTTCAAATCTTCGACCTACATGTAAAATTTTTTTATAATAATTTTTTCAATAAAAAAAAAATATAAAAATTTTCAGATGTCAGCTAATTTAATTTTAATTTTTAGCCATCAAAAAAATCATCAAAAAATTTGAAATGTAAAAATTATAAATCCAATTTATTAAAAATAATTAATTTGTTAAAAAAAAAACCCAAAAAATTTTAAAGTGTTAGATTTTAAAGTGTCTGATTTTTGTGTAATTAATTATTTTTTTATTCTTTTACATACAGACTGTCAGTGATGTGAGCTTTTTCATCAGACGCATTCACAAGCTTCAGTCCAATGAGACCTTCCGGCGCGTTTTTAGCTTCAAGGCTTTGCTCAGTGACTATCCAAACATACCCTGATCCTGTCATGTTCATAGTAGCAAGGTCACGGAAGATTATTTCTGCATCTCTTGTACTAAAAAGGTTTATTATTTATTAACAGCTTTTAATATTAAAATTTTATCTTCACGGGGTTTGAAGATATTAATTTAAGATTCTTACTTTGCGTACATCAGACAAACTCTTGCCTGAGCATCTCTGATACCGCGTAGCTGAGACGTGAAGGATTCAAGACCCGGCTCAAACTCTATTACAGTCTCCACCTGTTCCACAAAAGCCACCCGTTAATAAATCACGACTAAATAAACTGGATAGTGAGTAAATCAACCCATCATTTATCAGCGTCATGCATTACTAACAGTACTGAATCATAACTAAATACAATTATTTGTGAGATATTTATTTATAAAAAGGTGGTTTGAAATGACTCTAAAATTAGAGGACATCTTTTATTTAGAGTGAAGAAATTAGCAGACACTTGACAATTTTTTTTTAATAATAAACCAGGTCTAGAAAATTATTAAGTAAATTTTTTTTTTTTATAATTTATGTGTTAAAAAAATTATCAAATGTCTCAATTTCAATATCATAAAAAAAAATTTATAACTCTTGGAAAAATTATGTTTTTTTTTTTATTAATAAAAAAATCATTATTTTAATTTATGATTTTTTTTTTTATTTTAGACAAGACTGGAAAAAATTGCAGATATCTACTAATTTTTTAAATTACACTTGAAAGAATAAAAAAACATATGATAGTAAAATATGATATAAAAATAACTTTATTTTTATAAAAAGTATTGTCGATTTTCAACAAACAAGTGATGAATTATATTTTTAAATAAGATATTAATATTTCTTCTTAATTAAAAAAATTATGACTTAAATTGACGATTTTCAAATTTTAAAAAGTAAATTAATCCCAAGAAAATATAAAAAAAAAATTTATTTTTTCATTTTTTTCACAGTATTTCCTAAGAAAAATTTTAAAAATTGTCAGTTGCAATTTAAGTTTCATATAAAAAAATCTCTAGAGCTTAGACTGCAAATAAAATAACTTCGATATTTGATAAAAAATAATCTTTCCAAGAGGTGAAAAACGTCAGATGTCCGTAAAGTTGAGAATCATTGGCTTGTATGAGTGAATCTTTTAGACAGTACTTACGTATCCACGTCAAATAATATTATGAAGAGGTTGGTTAATTAAGAATATCTACAGAAAGACCTGGAATATGCCTGATTGTTTGTTTGTATATAATGTGGAACACATATATGTATAAAAAAAAGGAAAACGATAATGAAGACTAGGACGTGCAAGAAAATTTCCCTGCAACTAATAAGTAAAACAGTATATTTCGGAAAAAATAGACCCGAAAAAAATAAACTCGAAATAATTTTAGAATGATGAAAAATTCATATTATTTCATTAAAATTATTATAAAATAAAAATAATGATATTTAAAAAAATTTTTTTTTTTGGGTTGCTTGTTTTTCAGAAAAATTGTCGGTGTCATACAATTATTATTATTATAATTTTAATTTTATAATAATTTTAATGAAATAATATGAATTTTTCATACACTGATAGAAAGATTTGCTTATAGTTAAAAATATTTGTTAATATTAAATTTTAACAAATTATTTATTACAGATCACTTTTTAGTCCTTAAAAAATATTTCTTAGTATTTAAAAAGATTTATTAATATTTAATAAATGAATATCAGATTTATTAAATACAAAAAAAGTCATTTTAAATACTAAAAAATATTTTTTAAATACTAAATAGTGATTTCTAATAAATGATTTATTAAATATTAAAAAATATTTTTTAATAAAAATAAATTCTTCTATCAGTGTAGCTTTAAAATTTTTTAGGTCTATTTTTTCCGATTATCAAGACAATATAGGACACAATAATTAAAAGATTAACAAAAAGGACTGATTGCAAATGCAGGTGGTAATATTGAGTGGTAATTTCAGCCCGGATCCTGGATGCCTTGATGGACAAGCACCAACAAGTACCTTGAGGTAGAGACACACAAGTAGAAGTAGAAGTAGAGGTACAAGTATGGAGTTCGAGCAACTGGAGAAGAGGTATGGTACCTGGGATTTATAATTTTATAATTCGCTATACAGAAGCGTGCACGAGCTAACGATAACACGTATCAAGGGAACGTATCACGGATGGATTTATTTCGCATTTGTAGAAGTGATGCGAGACACGTGCGAGGTAGAATTGTACAACCCACATGTACTTTGATTTCGACGTCGTCCTCCAGGCTCTGCGACGTCGTCTGAAAACGACCCAGCAACGCACGTCCGTCTGTGTCCGAGCTGTGGATGAATATCACCTTCGTGTAGCTGAAGTACTTCAGCATTTCTACCCAGACTTCTGCTTGATGGGAGTACGGCGGGACTGTCCTCAAAAAGGACACGTGTATGTTCTTTAATTTAAATTATGTTGATTTATTTATTTATTTTTTGTTTTTTATTTTTAGTATTAATATTTATAACTATTTATTTATTTGATGTTTTTTTTACCTTGTCAGAAAATGCTGATTCGCGGGAAGATATTCCTATCACTGGTATGTGATAAAAACCAGCGGTATAAGACACGGCTGCTGGTGACAGGTCACCCTTAAGCGGGTGTGAAATAACTACTGCGTACACCCGCTCTGATATCAGTGTTTTACAAACACTCAGAGCTGTTCTTATTGGATTTGAATCCATTGTCATAACTGTGTGGTAAAATACAACTCCACGGTTAACGTATTGAAGATCAAAATTTAAATTCTGGAAATTAAAACATTTTAATTATTAATACTTCATTTTTTTTTTATTAAAAAAAATAGCAAAAAAATTACTGCAGAGATTTATGAATTTTTAATAATAAGAAAAATTTGGCTTTATAATTTTTTTTTTAATTTATAGTGCCAAGATTTTTTGTTGTAAATTTAAAATAACAATTTATAATAAATTGTTCAAATTTTTTAATATTAAAACAAAAATATTAGTCTTATAAATTTTTTTTTTAAACAAAAGTTAATAAAAATTTCATTTTTAAAAAAAATATTTTATATATTCTTTTTTAAGGATTGTCATAAAATTTTTTTTAAATAAAAAATTATTTGACTTTTTTATAATGGTTGAAATTTTTTATATTATGTCTAAAATATGGGTCATAAAAAAAATTTAATTAAAAAAAAAAAATGATTTAAAAAAAAAATATTTTTGCTGAAATTTCAAAAGTAAGATTTATAATTCTGAAAAAATTTGAATCATTATGAATATTAATTTTGGAATTACAGGAAATATTTGTTTCAAAAAAACAGTAACATTTTTTTTTTAAATTAAATTTTGAACAACTTTTGTTTGATAAAACTTTTTATAGGACCAATATGTTCGTTGTAATATTAAACATTTGAATAATTTATTTTAAAATTGCGGCACAAATTTTGGCCTTAGTTATTTATCACACTATTCATAGTTTGGGTACTTTTTAAATAAATTTTAAAAATAATAGCACTATCACAGGATCAATTACAAATAATTTAATGGACAAATCTGACGGAACAAATTTATAAAACCAACAAACTATTAAAAACTCCTCCAAAAACTTGACATAAAAAATTGACTACTAAAAAATATATAAAACCAAAAGGCACTAATTCTTATCAAGACCTTTCTGATGATACCAAATTAAACTATAAAAATTCCTTTAAAAATAATAATATGGTCACAAAATTTTCCTTACTCTGTCAATTATTTAAATTATAAATGACTACCGCTGAAAAAATATCAAACCCAATTTACGATAAAGATATACACGTTGCAAAATTTTTCTTAGTCTCTTAATTATATAAATTAATTTTTGACACAACCACATTGACATGTACAAAACAAAATAAATAAATAAACAAATTTTGTTTATCGCAAAATTCTAATTTATTTATAACTACTTCGAAAACTTTCCATAATAAATCAACTATCGCTGAAAAGCATATGAAACATTGAAAAGGCACTAATTCAGGTCTAGACCCTTTCAATGATACTAAATTAAATTTAAAAAACTCATTTCCTGCCCTCCGGCCGGAAAGTGGCAACTTTCTGGCCGCTGCGCTAAACAAAGTTGCCACATTCCGGCTACGTCGAGCAGAAAAATAGTATACACACCTTGGCCAGTAAAAAGTAAAGCCTCAGACCACATGTTTGTCAACCTCGGCTTCGCCTCGGCCAACAATTACATGTGGTCTGAGACTTTTCTTATTTTACTGGCCTAGGTATGTAATATACTATTTATCATACAAATACACCGAAGAAAAAATTCTCTTTATAGACAAAATGTTCTTTTAAAAGAATCTATATTGTTAAAGGAATATAGACATCATTCCATTGAAATATTTCAAACAAAAAGATTTTCATTTATTATTTCTTCTTTTATCTCGTCAAATGAATATGATGTATCGAACGGTATTTTTCTTTTTAAAATAGATTTTTAAGTTATAAATAATATTCTACTTAATTTATTATTTATTATTTATTATTTATTATTTATAATATAGAGGAAATAATTAAACAATGATTAGCAAAGTGATTAATATAAGACAACAGAGTATAAATAAATTTCTAATGTGTTCAATAATATATAATTACATTATTACAGAGTATCATTGTCTTTTGTTTTCAATAAATTATATTCAGATTAACTTATGTATCTTTTTGTAACCTTGTTAATGGCTCTTAGGCTGTTGGGATTTATATAAAGAAAATAAAATAAATCTATAGAATTATTTAAAGTTAAACAATGAGAGTTAAATATTTAAAAACAAAAATACTCTTGCCAGTTAGTAGTTTTCCATTAATTCCAGAAGTACACAAATATCAATAAGTCAATATGATTTGCGGGTAGTCATTTCAAAGGAAATTGAATGTCCCGTCCAATAATCACAAACATGAGACTTTTATTTACTTTATTTACTTGGAAGATATAAAATCGACGTTTAATATATATATATATATATATATATATATATATATATATATATATATATA